AAAAGGCGTGTCCGGGTCGAAATCCAGTACGAAATGGATTACTAACAACTTGATATTTTTTTCTATAACAGGTACGATCAAAATATTAGGAGGGGCATATGTTCTTATTTGAATAAATTAAATATAAGTTAGTTAAAAAAATTAAAAACCTCGAAAATATTGACCTCGGTGCTGCGTCCGGCCCCATATTGCGGCGGCAATTATTTTTTATCTTTTCTCCAATTACATAAAGAAGTTTCTTTTTCTCCAATTCACAAAACAGAATTATGGCGATTTTCTTGTACCATAGTTTATAAAAATAAAACTGCAATAAAATACTATATGCTTTTTTTTCTAATCATAAATATATTTATTAACTGAATATCTATATGTGTTTATAGTTGATACCATATCTTTTTAAATAAAAAATAGTTTAATGCGCTAGTTCTCATAAAAGGCTCCATTGAGTTACGAAAAATTAATAGAATTTTTATAAATTAAATAGGCCAGTAATTATAAAATAACATTTATTTCGAACAGAATCAGTCAGTGCTACAATTATCTATTAAATATTAAACATTTAAACACAACTTGAGCAATGAAAATCTCTAAATGCTCTCCTTTGAGTTACAGTTGGTCATAAACCTACACTTTCTTTTTGCTGCTAACGTATTAATGACAAATTAGACAATAAAATCTAACACAATGTAAAATAAAGGAAAAAAATATATTTATTTGGTAACAAAATGGCACGTAAATTAAAGAACTTAAGGAAATATCTTTAATTTCTTAACACTAGATTTGGTAGACATCACTCAATGGAATTACGAAATAACTAAATGGAACAAGTAAAGCTTTGCTCACAAGAAACAATTTTTACCTAATAATATTCTATTTAACAGGAAGCTACTCTAACTACGAGTCTATAAAAAACATAAAATTAATAAATATCTATTTGGAACAGTAACTGAAGTATTATTAATTATCCAAAACAAATAATTAAGACGGTTCACGCGTGTCGTCATTTCATACAAATTTTCAAGTTCTTATTCTTCGATGTTTATGAACCGATTTTAATGAAATATTGCTTCAAAGCCTGGTCTAAATAGTTAGTAGAGAACATTTTCGAAAAAGAGTTTAGATGAAGAGTGAGGACAATTTTATATTTTCTATAGAAAGTCAAAAATCACTCTATCTTTTCCCCATGAACTCTTTTTCGAAAATGTTCTCTACTAGCTATTTAGACCAGGCTTTGAAGCGTATCCATACCAAGTTTCATTAAAATCGGCTCATAAAAATCGAAGAATAAGGACTTGAAAATTTGAATGAAATGCCGACACGCGTAAAACAGTTATATAGCGTATTTGTTTTGTAGTTTTGCCAAGTGTCCGACATTCTCTTTTCCTTGCTATTATTCGAGTTATATCATCTCTGACATAAAATCTCTCAATTTCTTTTTTAATACTGTCATCTTTCTGCTTCCTCTGAGATAATCTTATTTTCCCCTCAAGTCCCAATATATTAGCCACATAAGTTTTCTTTCTAGCTGCTTGTACTTCATCGCTTACTACCATCTCTTTGAAAATTTTCTTCTCCTTTTGTGATTGACATTTGGCGTAAGTGGTCTTTATGGTACTTTCCATGAATTCGTTTCTTGCTTTGACTATTTCTAAACTATTTTCTAATTTATAAATCTTTTCATCGGTCTCTTTCTTTTGCCTGTGCAGTTTTTGTTTATATCTGTTCACTATCTTTGTCAATGCACGTATCCGTTTCAACGCCGCATTGTACTTCTTAACTACAGCGTTATTACAGCGTTTCTTTGTCGAAGTTTCTTCTTTACTGCGTGTTGTTACTTCTTCATTTACAGTCTCTTCTGCACGAAAATCCTTTTTTTTGTTTTGATGGTGTTTTTGTTCTCTCCATACTTTTCGTTTTCTTTCTTTCTCTTCATCGATAATTCACTTACTTTCTTATTTTTGGACCTAACATATTCTGCATGTTTTTTTTTCTCAGCCTCATATTTTTCAGGATCATTTTTTAATTTTTCCCTATACTTCCTCATACGTTCAGCAGGTGTCAAAGGCATTTTTTTATATTGTACTTTAAGTATCCTAAAACAAAATAGTATTTTAATATTGAGTTATCACTACATAGTATAAAGCAAAGTCGCTTGCCGCGTCTGTCCCTATGTATGTATGTATGTATGCTTAGACCTTTAAAACTACGCAACGGATTTTTTTAATAGATAGAGTAATTCAAGAGGAAGGTTTTTATTTATAATTTAACGCGTGCGAAGCCGCGGGCTTAAAATAATAAAAATAACCTACCTAACTTACTCCCGAAGCTTCTACACTCGCCTATTGGACATATCTGGGCAAAAACCTTCCTTTACCATTTCCAAATAATAATATCAAAATTTTCTGCTATGCGGTTGGGTGAAATTGGTCTAAATCGCCTCAAAAATTTGAATTTATTTTTAATAAAAAATTGTTATTTATAAATCTCTTCTTTGGTTTTATTAAAAACGCTTGAAAACCAAACAGATGTGAAAAATAAAAAACCTACCAAGTAGTAGTTATGAATGTTATTAGTCTAAAATCTGAACTAATATGCTATGCTACTAGTCTAAGATCTGATTATTTATCTGTTTGTTTTAATTATGTAAACCAATTTAATTAATTCTTACATATATAAAAAGACAAATTTTTAGCGAGTAGCGTAGGCTAATTACGTAATATATTAAGGTATCAAAATATTACTTAAAAAAATAATTGTTTGACGTGCGCTGCAAAAACTATTGGTTATACTTACATAAAATCACACTCAAGGATGATCATGTAAGTACATATATGTACATTTTGTTTTAAATTATTCAAATCGGACCTTTCGTTAAGAAGTTACGACGGGTATAAAATGCTTAAAATAAGAAAAACGGGGAATATCCGCTATGTGGGCTTATAACCTTATACTACGTCTATGTAACTAACATATAAATTTTCTGTTTCAATATAAAATTACAACTCCAAATTGCTGCCGGGGTGGGTCGCTAGTCAATTTACAATTTGAACACGCCTTTACCTTCCACTGACTTACAAATTCATTCCAATGAGTGAAATGTTTCTCAGCCGACGTAACTCAATCTATGTGAGTGATAATACAAAAATGATTTCACAGGTTATTATTTGTGCCTTTGCATAAACTTTATGATATATTTCGAGTTTAAACCTTGAGCTTTTTAAAATATAACACAAAAACACTTAAGTAATTATTCTTACCTTGATTTTGCCTTGAATATTCCCGTTAATCAGTGGAAAATCTCTTCTGCACCAAACTAACATCCACACTTATTTAGCGTCTCGTCACGGTTTGCAAAATGGCTGACAATTATGACGCTTTGAGTTCTTGTTGCCAAATTAAAAAATATATTTACAACCGGTAAAAAATAAAAAATATGGTTTAAATTAACGTAACTCAATTCCACTAATCCATTTTGAGTTACGAGAAATAAACTCTTATAATGCATTGATTACGGTTGATATTTCCGTGTAAGGCATTTTGAACGTTCAGAAATATACAACTGCCTTTGGAGTCAGTTAAAATTGAAAGTTTTGGCGGCAAACAGTGATACTATGTAAAGATTAAACCACTGTACTTAGTGAGTTACATCACATTTTCATACATACGATAATTTAAAGAAAACCTCAAAATAAAAATCATATTTAAAAACAAAAATAAACACTAATCTTTATTTTTTATTCACATCATGAATATTGATAATGATCACCAAAAGAAAAATAGCACAAGTGAGGTGACAGGTGAAAAAAGGATGGTACAAAAAATAAAAATACGCCCATTAATTCCATTTATAATATTACTAAAGCACAATAGGCCTTAGTAGACGAGTTACATCTGGTTGTCTTCACGTCCAACGTTTAGGATTGATATCAGTGGCGCGCACCAATCCGTTCATATATCCCACACTCTAGTGACTGAGAATAGTTGTTCGAGTAATACAAACTGTCAGTCGCGCCGCATTGGTGGTAAGGTCAACGCGTCTGTGCGTTACCGCGTCACTCTTTTATTGAGGTACGTAATCGTTTTTGGTGGCTTGGTATACCCCTAAAATTGATTTCGGTGATTCAAAAGGTGAATTAATATTTTAAATTATAATAAAATTATGTCTTTCATGTATTAGGTTTCAAAAAAAGAGGTTAATATAAAAAATCAGTTTATTTTTGAAAACATTTAGGATTTTGTTAATTATTTTGATTTTAGTGGCATTGATTTCGGTGTTTTCGGTGGAAATAGGTGCACCGAAATCAATTTTGAAATCACCGAAATCAATCAATCGTTATTTATTTACATTTTATGATCGTAAATTTAACTTTCTTACCACCCTTATCTTGTTTCAGTATTGAGATTATGTCAGATTCAAAAGAAGATTGGTTGGCTAAAAAGAGATTATCTGAACGACGTCGGAAAGCTCGCATTAAGAGTGATCCAGAGCTTTACGCAGTGCACAAAGAGAAAGACAGACAACGATATTATAAAAGGAAGAATGAAGGAAAGATAAAGTCTGTAAGTGAATTAGATCCTCGTCAACAACGAATTTTTAGAGAGAGAAGTAGAATATCTTCCAACAAACACAATTTGAAAAGAAGGCGTAAAGAGATGAGGTGTCTTGAAGAGGATTTAATAATCGTACCAGAAGTAACCGACAAAACCGACGATCCTTTGGTGACTTCACAATCACAAACAATACGATCAGAATTGCTTCAAACTGAAGCAAGTTCCTATGTTGATTTGCTACCATCAAGTTCATCCGTCGTTTCATTTCCTTTACCTCAGCGTATTAAGGCTCGAGGCCGCCGCACATGAGTCCGTCTAGTGACGTAAGTAAAATTTCAAAGCCATGTACAAGATCATCAGTTCGTGTGATTGAAAAGGAGTTTCCTCCAACTCCAAAAGCTAACAAGAAACTGAATACCAAAGTTATTACACGTAGACTTAAATACTGCATGAACAAAATATATCAGTTACAGAAAGAGAAGATTGATCAATTGAAGATTGTCAATGAACGACAGCGAAAACAGATATATAGATTAAAATACCAAAGTGCTAAATTAAGAGAATATGAACATATAAGTAAAAATAATACTGAAGATATTAAACAAAGTGAATCAGACACTATAAAAACAATTAAAAATAATGTGGAAGAGGACATCAAAACTTTTCTTGAAGAAGATGAAAACAGTCGTATGTGTTCTGGGAAGAAAGAGTTCATTACTTAGAAAAATAATAAAAAAACACAAAGACGCTATTTAAATGATTCTTTAAAAGACTTATATACTAAGTTTAAGCAAACAAATCCCGAAAAATAAATTAGTTACTCCAGTTTTTCAAAAACGTTTTATATTACACCTAATGTAAATAAACGATAAAACCTATCTTTGTATCGAACATGAAAATATGGACTTGATGGTGACTGATTTAAAAAAAACAACTTAATTCAAGAAAAATCTACCAAAGATATTTTGTCATCACTGTGCTGTGACTCTTCGAATGTGTCATGTTTAACTAGAAAATGCGATGACTGCAAAGATAAAAGCTTAATCTATAATTAATTCAATAACACTAAAGTATTGTTTTACTGGATTTGGCAAAAAAGTAAAAGAATTTATTACAAGAATGGAGTTACAAAAACAACCATTCACACAACGAAAGATAAAGTGACTACTTTCCCCAGGGACACCATTTTAAAATTTTAAAAAATGTTACCTTCATACATGACTCACTGTGGAGTTATGATCGCACAAAACAAGTTTATTAAAAAAATTAAAAGCGACCTCACTGACGAAGAGTGTATAATTCACTGCGACTTTAATGAAAATTACAGCACAAAATACGGTAATGAAATTTAAGCGTTCATTTCGGGGGTAACCGACAACAAATAACCCTGCACACCGTGGTCATTTATTATCATAAAAATGGACTTCTGAAAGTTCAGTCGATGTGTACATTATCAGAGTCTTTACGCCATGATGCACCAGCCATTTGGGAACATTTACTTCCGATTTTAAAATTCATAGAAGATGAAAATCTCAATATTCGTATACTACATTTCATTTCTGATAGTCCGTCGGCTCAGTACCGAAGCCGTAAAATGTTTTATATCATCAGTAAACTCCATTGGTACTTTCCCAGTTTGACTAGTATAACATGAAATTATACAGAAAGTGGCCATGGAAAAGGAGCCCCAAATGGTGTCGGTGCAACACTCAAAAGAACGGCTGATCGAATAGTTGCTCAAGGCAATGATATCACAAGCTTATCATCATTGATGACTCATCTGAAATCTGTTCAAGGTATTATAACGAAAACTATTGACGATTCCGGTATTTATGAAAAAGAATTGCTAATTCCATCCAATCTCAAGCAATTTGCAGGGACTATGAAAGTACATCAGGCAGTATGGAACGCTAATAAGCCCAACCAACTATCGATGAGAATAATGAGTAGCGCCGAAGGTGAATGTAAAAATAATTCAGTGTCATGTGAACATGGGTATCATGTAGGATTATACATCATAGGCGAGCAAGCTGATAGACTGTTGACTGATAGAACGAACAAGAACAAGAGTGACAAGGCCAATCTGATTAAAAAGTCAAGTGAAGCCAAAAAAGGGAGTGGAGTCAGTGCAACTGAATCTAATAAGCCTCAAATTTTATCGATTATTCTAATTCAACCTGGTTCTAGCTATTCTGTTGATCTTGCTGATGAGTTCTATGAAACCAAACAGCGCCTGTCCCATACCTTACCTTCAGACATTGGATTACATGAAAGTGACAGCTTCTGGACACGTGTGTCGTCAGATTGTGAAATTATTGCACCGACATTAATGAATGAAGTAGTATCCAAAATTGTAGCTCTTCATTGCATCGATCGAGCACCGATTGACCAGCAAGGGCTAATTTTAATTTTATTAAAAAAACGCGGTACTCATGTACAATACAGAAATTCTCGATATCGTAGAGTTAATATTAAATAGTAAAATGACCCAATAATAATACAAGTCGACCTTTAAGTAAAATTATGGTATTTTCGCTTAGTATTATTACGATACTATATACTACAAACTTTAAAATAATGGTACAATTAGGATAATTACACTACGAAATCCGACCCTGGTTATGTCGTGTTATGATATGACGTTTGTATTATGACAGATGCGCTAATTTTTCTTGTATGAAAAAGTTATGAGTAAAATATTTAGATGGGCCTATCCTTCGTTTTGAAGTCATTGCTATTTCCATAAATATTTCTTGTGTGGCAGCAACGCGCCGGGTACCAGCTAATTATGAATAAAAACTTGGGAAGCTGTCACATTTACGGTTACTAATTTCGAAAATACTGTTTTGTCAAAAGATATTGGATGACCCTAGTTACGAGATACTGTGATTGATTCGTCACCATAACAGTTAAAATTAATATAATATCTTAATTTCAATGGGTGATAAGTAATAGACAAGTTACGTGCGTATGCACAACACTGGGCGAGACGTTTTCCCTTTCCTTTAGATAATAATTGATGTTGACACACCAGTGTCAGCTACATTCGTAAAAGAAAATGCAGCGTGTGTCAACTTTCCAACTGCCTTTGTTTATTCGAAAGTTAAGATCGATTGGTCGAGACCACATTAAAATTAGCAAGGCGAGTTCATTCTCTGGCATACGGATATGCCAGTCGCCTTTACAACAAACTCGGGACGAAATTGGAGTAAAGATTTTCTTACACGCCGGAAAACTCCGGGCATATTTATACAATAGGATTTGATCCGATTTGACTTGGTCAGAACAACTCAATAAATGATTTTTTGCCCGACCCGGGACCTGGTAACCAGCAATCGCGTTTACGAGCATATGACTAACGAGGCACCAAAGATCGTAGTATAACCACGTCGATGCAAATCTCCTGACTGGCGACGGGAAGCACCTTCAAAAGTACGATACGTTTGATAGTACTACTTTCGCCGGAAAGGAAAAGGAGAGATCACCCACCGGGCAAGGCGATAAGCCGGGGGAGCGGCCATTCCTCTGTGTGGTAGTACTGAGCTATTCTATATATACAGCAGTACTTAAGAAACTTTGATAGCGTGATTTAAGCAGCGCCGCCACATCGTCTCCCAGCTCAGACCGGAGGTCGATGGTGCAATCTAGTTGTCGACGAATGTGCAAGTGCCAGGGATTGCTTTGTAGTATGTGGTGAATCGAAATGAAGGCAAGCAATCTGCGAGTGTCGTGAAGTAGAGACTAACGGTAAGGCTCAGAGCCGTGGCGAACACTTGAGGGAACAAAAAACATGTAAAGCTAGATGGTTTGCAGGATCTGAAGACTGCACACAATAGCTGCTCGGGAGCGAATGGATGGGGTACTTGACGACGACAACGAAAGCTTGAAATTTGAGGTTTCTGAAGGTTGGCTGTTCAAACCACGTCGAGATCAACACTTGGGCTAAAAAGGAAAAATAGTAGTTCTTCCGCCGGGTAAGGTGATTGGCCCGAGGAGCGGCCAATGCTCCGTGTACAGGGCTATTCTATATGCCGTAGTACTTCAGAACACTGATAGCATAATTTAGGCTTCGGTGTTTCGCTTGTGTTGCGACGACAGCGCCACCACCATAGTAAAAACAGAATAGTAGGATTAACTCCCGCGCCGCGCGAGACTTAAATGCCTACTGTTGCAGGGTTGTCACTGTCTTTTTGTTTAACAGCTAAGTCTCATTTAGTTTTATAAGTAGTCAAAATATTAACAAACAATACATACGGATATGTACCTATATATGCATCATATTTGTTAATCATTTCTTGAATTTCCTCACAAAGAATCAATGTTTGTCAAAAAAATATTCCAGCTTTACAGTTTACATTACAACAAATCCCAAATAACTAAAATACGAGTTAACACTGAGCATATGGTGTCAGCTCAGATTTAATGTTTAAATTTAATTTGATCTGATGTGATATGACAATTAATGTACTTATGAGGTATGTATCTATTTATAGATATAGTAATATAAATTATTAATAAAAAGTAATAAATTTTTAATAAAAAACTTTACTTAAACAAACTCACATATTAATTAATTTTACAAAAAGACAAAATAAAACGAAAAAAAAAGAATGCTAGCAAAATTTTATTATAATCATCTGTCTGAAACAAAGGTGATTGCCGATTGCCGAGCGTGCGTTCCGGCCCGATCTTTCCGACTTACCAAGTGCGTTGTGTGCGTGCTGTGGCTCGTGTGTACGAGTCCGTATCCGTAGTCCGTACTGACACGTGACAGGCACGCACATTAACGGCGTTTGGTACACTTCTTAGAAGATAGCCTTCTATTCTGTTTTTACTGTGCCAAACTACAATCTCCAATACGCTTGCTAAACGTTGCGATTATGGCGACGGGAAAAATATCATAACGAAGACCCTTTATATTGGTAAGTTGGTAAGGTTTTAGTCATGAATAGTAACAGCGCATCAACATTTTTTTGATAATAATTGATAGACGTGAATGTAGGCCGGCAACGTAGCTGCAATTTCCTTGGTGTTGCAGATGTTCATGGGCGACAATGATCACCTACGATCAAATGAGCCGTATGCTTGTTTGCGTCCTCTTCGATAAGAAATAAAAATAAAACTTACAATCAGGTTACTTGTTTTTAAAAAAAATGGTGAATTCTGCCTACCGTCGACAGAAGAGTCCGTATTTCAATAGAATATTGTTAAGAGCTGATAATGATGAAGATCTTTTTATATTTTTATAGGATAGCGTGACAAACGAGCACACAATCCACCTGATGGTAAATGGTTGCTGCGGCCCATAGACATCTACATCTATCCTCGATTACAAATCAAAATGCAGATGCGTTGTCACCCGTGAGGACTAAGATTGAACGCCTAGTTTCCAGTAAAAAGGGTCTCCGGTTCTCTACACTTACCATACGAAACACAGCAGCATTAAGCTACTATTTTACGCTGGTATTCTGTGAGAGCGTCGTCCTTCCCCGGCCAAGCCCACCGCAACATGGCTCTACCACGTATAAAAACGTATTCCACTGTTCAAGCGTCATCATTACAGTGCTTCACAAGTCCACTGATAAACAAAGGGTTTCCTCAAGGAATGCCACATCGCTTACTAAGTCTTTACTCCATATGGGAGGGAGCTGCCCTACACTGTGCTTACTGGTATGAGAATGGCACTCGAAATCTTTTCTTCCTTACCTATAGGCTTTCGAGTTCTTCGATGTACATGGCCTGCCCATTGCATTGCCACTTCAGGTTGTTTATGTTTTTTTTATTTCACTGCTTACCTTGTAAGAAAAGATCAGCGATAACTAATTCACATTTTATGCATTTATTCTTATTAAAACTGCACTTCTATAACAGTATTTTATTAGTAAATAACACAACTTGAAGTCTTTGCCGCACTCCCTCATCGCGAAATTTGTCAATATTACTGACATAGGGGACAACTGATTAGTTTCAGCTAATCGCCCGATCACGCGGCAACTAAACGGATTCGAAGCTAAGCCCCCACCTGACAGGTGCACGGAAACATCTAATTAGTCCCGACAATTAGTTTCATTAGGTTGTATTAAATAAGTATTGATTACCGGGTGTCTTCCGGGTCACCGAGATTCGGATCATCATATTTCGATGGTTTTTCGGTTCCATGAAATAACTCTTGACTTTTTACGTGTTAGAGCCCAAATGCAATGCAATGATTGAAGCAGCAATGGGTCGGCTCGTTAAAGGACCACGCTCTTACAGAATACCAGAGTAAAATAGCAGCATAATGCTGCTGTTTCCAATGATGAGTGTAGAGAACTGGAATCTGGATCCGAGTCATTCCATCCCAAAACTCAAGTGTAATTACGCATATGCATTTTGATTTTTAATGGAGGATAGATATAGATGTAGATGTCTATGGGCCTCGGGGGTAAAACCCTTATGGTAGTTCAGACAGCTAAATCTCAATGCAAGCAAGCTCAGCTGGATCCTCGCCAACACTAACGAAATTGTTACGTGCTGATTTACTACTTGTTAGGCGATGAAAGAAAACATCGTAAGAAAACCTGAACAAAAAAAATAAAAAGGAATTCGAGATCATTTGGCGAACCCATCCCTGATACAAAACCTTCTCAGAGAACAGGAGTTATCTGTGCAACTTCTAGAGGTTACTGTGCCTAGAAGTAGATGTATGTTTATAGCTCGTTGTTTTAGTTTAATGGATGTTGGAGATGGCAAGCATACAATAAAAGGCACATTACCTAGCTCTGGGCTGCTACTTACAATTGACAAACAAGCACACAGTCCACCTAATGACAAGTGGATGCTGTGGCTCATAGACACTTACACCGATCCTCAATTAAGAATTAAAATGTACATCTATCTTCCTGAGGACTGAGATAGAATACCTGGTTACCGTTAAAAAAGGACTGTTTATGCTGGTACCAAAGATAATGTGGTCCTTCCATGGTCAGCCGCCCAATTACGCAGCAACCATAATAACTGTTATGTGACTCTACTATATTAAAAAAATTACATTCTAGAAGAAAATCTAAATAACGGCAGCTCAACCTGGAACAAGTTCTGAGGACCACCTCGATCGGCGAACGCGTTTGCGATCAATAAGATAATTGAAGATCTCCATATAAAATTATCATAATATAAAAACAACTTAATAGTAACTTAATTTCAAATAACCTACTTGGCTAAGTTTCAACGTCGGAATAAAGTTGCAGGTTCTATAGAGGTCAAGTCTTTGCTACGGTAATAATATCAAGGACAAATTCTTTTATGATAA